TATGCAATTTCAAAAGTTACTGAGGGTTTACTACGAAGAACTTAATGTTTTTGAGGGTTTAGTGTGATTTTGAAAGTTATTGGGGGTTTACTGCAGAGCACTGAAAGTTCTTAGGTGTTTAAGTGGCGGAGCTACAAAGTGTCTAGTGGTGTCACAGAACGTCACTGGATTGCTTATTTTATAGATACGTTTATTTATTTTTACATGTATCTACTACTTGTGACACCACCGAGAACAGGACATGACACCAATAGAGAGGATAATCCCTGGAGTTATCTGCTTCAACGAACTCATAAGCTATACTGACACCACTGGGACAAAATCCTGGCTTACCCATTGATCTTAATGTAATCCTTTTAGGTAAGTACAATTTGCATCTGACCTTTAAAATGAAATTAGCTGCTTTTGATTTTTTTTAAATAATTCTATGATATGAATGGAATTGGCATATTCGTATTCATATAATCAGCTTATACCATATGATTTAACTAAGTTCACGAGAATTAAATGCGATCACAAGAAAAGTGCCACAATTAGTTGAAAAGAGTTAAAACCTTGTGAAAACGAACTCATAAATACAAAAATGCATGAACCTTTTGATAAGTTTGTAGCGAGATACTGAGATGAATGGATAAGCATAAGGATTTTTCTGTAAACAGCGATGGAGGTTCAACTTAAGCGGCAAGGCCTAGAAAAAATTGCATATTTATGTGGATGTCGCAATATTTATTTCATGTCCACATATGGACAGGTTATAAATAAATATAAATTTTAAAAGATGTTCCTATTATTATTTTAATTCATTATTATTATGATGGTCGCCCGTTAACAAAGAACCTTCTCAATGCATGCCACAATAATTTTGAAAAGACTTACTTGCTCCCTTCTATATGAGTACAGACCTATCAAAACGAGCCGGCCCGGGATTTTGGGTCCGATCGGGCAAAATGTCGGGTCTGGTCAGGCAAAATGGTCCTGCCGGACCAGAACTAGGACCCGAAAGCCTCGGGCTAAGCTCGGGTCCGGGTCTGGGCCTACCAGTCCGAGCACTGGGCTACCTTGGATTTTTCTTTGTTTTAAATTTTTTTTGCAAAAAAAACTTAAATATTAAATTTTTGCCAAAAAAAGAACTTTAAGAGTAATTAAATTATTCAAAACTTTGACAAAATTCAATCTTATTATTAATCACTTATAATTATACATTTTGCAAATATCATATAACATAAAACAATAAAAAAATATTTTTTATTATTAATCAATAATAATTATAACTTTTTTTAGAAATTATCGCATCACATTAGATGAATACATTCTAAGTAAGTAGGCAACTACTCATCTATATTACTACAATTTATAATTTATTTCAAAATAATTTATCACAGATTTATAGCTAAAAAATAAAAATTATAAATTACTTTCTACTATCTACCTCTTATCGTCAACTCACTAAGTCTATCTTCAATATTAGCTATCCGGTCTATGCCTTCAGTTCTCTTCTCCTACCTCCACCAATTTTATTGGCACATTACCGCCTGAATGATAGACGGATCTAGCGATATTCTGTGGTCGTCGACCAAACGTCTTGATGTGCTGAAGGAGGATTCTAATGCTACTGTAGAAACCTGCACTGTTAGTAAGTCACAAGCAATGATGAAAAGTGTAGGATATGAAACTGTTCCATGTATTCTCCACCATTATAAAATATCAAAATCAACGCTATTTTGAGGCTTAACTAAAGATGCAGCTAAATAATATTCAATCTCGGAAACTTTCCTTGATGATGATCTAGATCTAGATCCATGACTACTACTAGTTAGCCTCTCTATTATTGATTACCTATGAAAAAACTTACCTTTGCCCCACCTTGAGTGTGTACAAGTTGTAGGTTGGCATACTTATCAAATAACCTTTAAAAATAATATTTAATAGTATTATGATGAGTAAAAGTAGTAATGGTTTAACCACTATCAGTGTCTATTATCATATTCTCATATAAAGAATTTAATAAACTTTGAAGGCCACCATCCTTTAAGAATGGATCAATTATCATATTCTCATATAAAGAATTTAATAAACTTTGAAGGCCAACATCCTTTGAGAATGGATCAATAAGAATCGCCAAACAAAAAATAACAGAGATAGATCTAAAATACTTATTAAATTTACTTTCTAATTCAAAAATCATATTTTCAAAGTAATTATCCATGTGATAAGTATTAAAAAAGTTTGAATATTTAAAAAATATAAAACAGCTTGAGTAATAGTTGGATAATAACAACCAGATAATAACATAGTAGCATCATAAAAAACTTATAGCATCTCTTTTACACAGTATATACTTGTCCATTCATCATCAGTTATTCCATTTATATTATCAAAACTAGAACAGGAAGTATAGAAAAACAATAAAATCATTTATAATTTCTTTGTCTTCTATTGCGACTTTTATAATTGTATATATAGCTGAAATTTCACCTATGGTCAACATCATTTTGAATTAGCTTAGGTTTTATATTTTTTTCTTCTACATAACTATTTCTATCTTTTAAGTCTTTGTTCAAAAGCATTATGAGCATAAGTTATAACCCTAACTTTTCTATCATGGGTTTAATTTTATTAAATACACTTTGAATAATTAAATTTAAAATATAACACATGCATCTAATATGAAAATAACACACTATCAATAACAAAGATGATTTGATATGATTTACAACCATATTATTATTATTTGCATTATCTAGTAAAAAAATATATTTTTTCAAAGATTTTTAATTTTAAAAGTTATTCCATTATTAAATTTGCAACATCTACACCAGTGTGTGAATCTTCAAATGCAATAAAAAATAACTTTTTTAGACATTTGCTAAAATGTGATGTGATACATAAATAATTAGTTTGTGCTCTAGATGTCTAAATATCAAAAGTTAGAAAAAATTTACAGTTTAAACTTTAAAATAAGATATTACGTTTGTTTCTCGTGATAATATTTTAAAATATCACGTTGATAAGGTTGACAAGAAATTTTTTGAAATACGAGGTAAGCACCATCTCTAATTATATCATAAAATTCATCATCTTCTACTAATTAAAAAAAGGTTTTTAAGAGCAATAAACATGATGACGCATTTTTTAGTTTTAGGAAACAATGCTACTGAAAAGGCAGATGATTGAGAGAGTAAAGATTGGCGGATGTCTCCTTGAGACGTTGCTGCTTTCCCTCTGTTGTGTTTATCCAAGCGGCGTTTTGAGGTGGTTGATGCCGCTTTTATGACGAGCTTCAAAGATATAGCCAAATAATACACATTTGGTCTTCCGGGTGAGAAGTTTGTCGTGTTGATCACTGATGACGTCTATCTTCTCAAAAAAATTCTGCACATCAGATCTCAGGTTTTTAGGAGTTCTAGGTGTTGGATCATTGCTATCGGATTCAGAGTCAACATCGGTAATATGAGGAGTAGTTGTTGGAGTAGTAGAACTCATTTTGGTGTCGAGAGTTGGAATTTGCCCTTCATAATTGGAGGAGAAAGCCATTCGAATTAGAAAATTAAAGAGTATAAGAGAGTATTAGAGAGAAGTATATGAGTTTTGGATGAGAAAATCAAATGAAAATCCCCTCTATTTATAGAGGTAGCCCTCAATCAAATGACAAAAATACCCTCAAAATTTTAGTTTTTTAATTGTTTTAAGGGGTATTTTGATCATTTGACCAAAAATAGCCGTTATTGGCTATTTTATCAGACTGAACTGAGCCGGGTTCGGGTTAGCACGGATCCAACTCGGTCCAACGGCTAGAAATCTAGCTGTTGGACCGGGC